TTATTGACAGTACTATTAAACCCCTTATTTTTTCAGTTCATATGAAGTTTTTGTTTTAAAGATTGAATTTATTTCAGAAGTACTTATGAACCAGTGAGACCTGACTAAAGCATATACAGTAAAGTTTTCAAATTCTAATATCTACCTTTTTATGGGATAAAAATAGCATTACCATTGTAGTATTTTTGTTTATTTATTTTTATTTTTTTTGGTACTGGGGATCGAACTTGGGACCTTGTGCTTTCGAGGCAGGCAGTGGCACTACTGAGCTAAATCCCCGGGCCCCAGTATGTTTGTTTTTATTAAAATTAGTTCTTTTCAAGTTTGATTACTACTAACAAATCCTGAGTTTTACTACAGGCAGAGTATCCCTTATCCCAAATACTTGGGACCAGCGAGGTGCAGTGGTACTCTCCTTCTAATCCCAGCACTTCGGAAGCTGAAGCAGGAGAATCGCTTTAAATTTGAGGCTAGCCTGGGTTACTACATAGCAAGTTCAAGCCCAGCCTGAACTACATAGGAAGACCCTGTCTCATAACCAAACCAAACCAAACCAAAAGATTCGTACCAGAAGTATTTTGGAATATGTACATATACAGAATGTGATATGTTTTGGATGCAACCTCAGTCTAAGCATGAATTTCACTTATGCTTCATAAATCCCTTCAGTACATAACCTGAAGGCAATTGGATACAGTAGTTTTCATGTTGCCTGTGAATCACAGTTGCATGGTGTGGAATTTTCCACATGAGCATTCTGGATTTTTGGATTAGAGATGTCTATGGTATTCCAAGGCAAGGTAGAAATATGATTTTTTTTCTATATGGGGAATTGAATCCAAGGCCTTCACACTGAGCTATATCCTCAGTGTAACTTTTAAAATTATCTTTTATTTTGAGGTAGGGCTAAGCTGCCCAGGCTGGCCTTGAACCTTCAGTCCTTCTGCCTCAGCCTCCCAGAGTGCTGGGATTACAGGAGTATGTCAGCACACCTAGCTCAAAACATGATAATTTAAAAAATTATTTTTCATCTTCTAAGCACTGTTTTATGGTAAAAAAAAAAAAATTACTATTTGGTCCGAAGTGTTCTTATATGCAAATAATTTGTACTGCGGATGGTTTTTATTTTCCTGACAGCTACATTATACAACTCTAAGTACTGAATTCTTCCTCATCACTGAAGTATGTGTTCTTCTTTATCCTCAGGCACTGTGAATCCTCTGATGTTGAGGGGCCTCCTGCACTGGGTTCCATTGGTTCTGTTCTTCAGTCTTGGCTTGCTGGGAGGCGATGGCTTGGCTGAGACTGTCGAGAGCCGGGTCTTCCCCTTTGTCTTCACTTTCTGCTACATCCTCAATTTCTTCCGGTTCGGCAATTTTCTTTTTCTTCTTTTTTTTTTTTTTGCTTCTTTGGAGGCTCACGTTCTCCGAGCATGTTTTTCGGACAGGCATAACTCAAGTGTCCACTTTCCCCACATTCATAACACTTCGATTTATGAAAGTAGTTTCGCCTTCTGATGAATTCTGCTGCTCTCCCGTTGTCAATAGCAATACTTGCCTTTATCACTCTACCAAACAACTGTTTGTTATTTATGGTTCTGGTGCAGTTTTGTGCAGTCTTTATCCAAAAATAATATAAATGCAACCCCTTTACTCTTCCTCGTATCTTTGTCTTTCATTACAGTAACCTTTACAGCTTTGCCATACTTGGAAAATATCCGGTATAAGTCGTTATTCATCAGGGAGAAGGGCAAGATGGACACATACACTGTGGTCTTACCTGGAGACAAGCCACCACTCATTTCTTCAGGAACGGCGGCCCTGGCGCAGCGGGGATTCAACCCCGACTTTTCCTCGCCCCTCGAAATGGCCCGGCCCGGGCATCCCGCATCCAGGCGAGGTCGGCGCAGAGCCCTGGGGTCGCGGCAGCGGAGGGGCTCTGCGCGGCTCCCTTTGGTCGGGCCACACTGGGGGCCGCCTCATGAAGGTTCTAATAAAATCTTTAGAAGTAATCTACACATTCCAAAGAGTTCCAAGAATTTTTCAGTTCTGACACGGACTTTCATACCTCTATTGTGCTTTTCCCTACAAGTTACTTGATGTCCCAGTCTCCTTCCACCTTCAATTCCGTGATCCTCACCAGCTAATTTCCCTATGTTCTCCCATCTTTTCATAAATACAATTGCAATTATTTCAGGCTAGTTTATATTCTACCATTTGCTCGTCACTTGTTCATATTTATTCAATAAATACATACTAATTGTTTATTTACTGTATGCTAGAGGAAAGATGAACAAAAATATAGTCAGTTTGTTCTTCACAACCAGTAAGATGGCTATTATTTTAAAAACAATCCCCCTCCCAAAAAAACCAAACAAACAAATATTGGCAAGGATATGGAGAAATTAGAATCTTGTGCACTGCTGATAGGAATGTATAATGGTATATCCACTATGGAAAATAGTATGGCAGTTCCTCAAAAATTAAAATCTGAATTACAATATGATCCAGCAAATTCCATTTCTGGGGATATACTCAAAAGAACTGAATGCAGGGTCCCAAAGAGATATTTATGCAGCCATTCTTATAGGAGCATTATTCACAGTAGCCAAATCCCCAAGGATAGATGAATAAACAAAACGTGGCATACACATACAATGGAATATCATTCAGCCTTGAGTAGAAAAGAAACTCAACATGCTATAGTATGCATGAACCTTAATGATGATAAAATAAATGAAATAAGCAAGTTATAGAAAATAATACTGTATAATTCAACTTATTTGAGGTTTCTAAAGTGGTCAAATCCATAAAGACCAAAGGTAGAACAGTAGTTGCCATGGGGAAATGGGATAATTATTTGACAGATACAGAGTTTTAATTTAGGAAGGTGAAGAAAGTTTTAGATATGGATGGTATGATAGCTACACAACAACATGAATGCAAATGTCACTGAACTGCACCCTTAAAAATGGTTACATTGATAAATTTTGTTATGTATAATTAATTACATAAAGCCAAAAAAGACGGTCAGTCTTGGTCCTTATGTAGGCCACATTCAATTAAGGGAAACAGACAAATAATCATCAAGTGAAAAAAAAAAAAAGGTAAGCCTGATGGTGCACACCTGTAATCCCACCATTCTGGGTGGCTGAGGCAAGAGGGTCACAAGTTTGAGCCCAGCCTGGGCAACTTAGAGACTTAATGAGATCCTGCTTCAAAATAAAGTAGAAAATGGCTGGGATGTAGTTAAGTCCAATCCCAGTTCCTCCTCCCCACAGAAAGGGGTGGTGTGGCAGGAGAAGGATGCTCATTACCTCTTTGCTACCGTACAGTGTATAACATTCCTTTCTCAGTCATCCACTTTCTTACTTGACTTCTATTTTTTTTGTTTTGTTTTGTTTCTGTTTTTTTGGTACTGGGGATTGAACTCAGGACCTTGCACTTGCAAGGCAGGCAGCGGAACCACTGAGCTAAATCCCGGGCCTTACTTGACTTCTAAAGTATTTAAAATTGTTGAAATTCTCTTTTTTGTTGAAATTCTGATTTTTCATTTGTTTCTATGCCACTGTTATTTTCTGGTTTTCTTTTTACTTCTCTGGCTGCTACTTTTCATCATGCTTCAAGGTTCATGAGGTAGGGCTGGGGATTTAGGTCAGTGGTTTCACCGCCTGCTGCGCAAACGCAAGGACCCGAGTTCGATTCCCAGTACCAAAAAAAAAGATTCATGAGGTCATCCTTTCCTGCCTCCTTAAGTAATGAATTCATAGCCTTCTCCCCATTCTCATCACAACTTGAGTTCATGCCCTTTTCATCTGCAGCATGGAATAGTACTATTAACAGCTTCCTAGCAAGTCTTCCGGTTTCCAGAGTTGGCAAACATACACTACCTATCACTCAATTCTATGCATGGTGATTTCAACAAAATATAATGCAGGCTATATCACATCTTTCTTAACCTGCTTTGATGGCTCTCTTAAAAGTTTTTTTTTTTTTAAAAAAAGGGCTTCTTTAATGAAATATAATCCACATATCATAAAATTCACCTTTTAAAAGTGTATATTTCGTTGGATTTTAGTATATTCAGAGTTACACAATTATCATTGCTACCTAATTTCAGAACATTTTTATCAGCCCACAAAGAAACCTGACACCCATTAGCAGGCATTCCCATTCTTACTCCTTTTGTCTCCTAGAATTAATCTACTTTCTGTCTCTCTGGTTTTGGCTACTTTGAGCATAACACATAAATGGAATCATATAACATACAGGGGCTTTTGGGTTGACTTCTTTCACTCAGCATGCTTTCTCAAGGTTCATCCACGTTGTAACATGTATCAATACTTCATTGCTCTTTAATGCCAAATAATATTCTATTATTTTTTGTTTACTCATTCATTAGTTAATGGACATTTGAGTTGTTTCTATTTTTTGGTTATTATAAACAATGCTGTTATAAACACTATGAAAAAGTTTTTATATGAACATATGTTTTCATTTCTCTTCCATATATACATAAGAGTGGAACTTGTTGGGTGTGGTGACGCACGCCTGTGATCTCAGCACTCGGGAGGCTGAGGCAGGAGGATCGCTGCAAGTTCAAGGCCACGTGGGCTACATAGTGAGTTCAGGGCCAGCCTGAACTACAAAGGGAGACCCTGCCTCAAAAAAACCAACAAACAAACAAACAAAACAAAAAAAGAGTGGAACTGATGAAGCAAAAGAAAACTGCGTATCATTTTGAGGAATGCTTAACTTAGAAGTCTGTAAAGTATAGGAGGGTCCAGGGGGTTCTCAAAGTCCCTATGTACAAGTGGAATGATCAATCTTGTTCTAAGTCTAGAAGAATAGAAGTGATAGTAGATAGATGTAGATATATATTCAATTGATTCTACATAGTGAGTTTTTAATGCAGTGGCTGAAATAAGACACTCGTGTTACTATAAATGTGCCTCTAATGAAAAGGTAGACAAAAAGACATTAAAAAAAAGTCATACTCACCTGAGTGGACCTCCGAGTCTGCCGAGCCTGTCTGGAGCGTGCTTTCCGTAAAGACTCAGCTTCCTCATCCCGTACAGGAGTCAGATAGGACCTGCAGAGAAAGCAAAGTAACAGAGGGAGTAAGACCTATGCCGCACACACTTGAGGAATGATAAGGTACTTTCATAGACTGAAGGGATTTCTACACTCTAAGAATGAACAGAGGAAAAATCAAAATGAGAGGAATACTATCTGCCAGCAGTATAAATTACAGAAATCAAGACATTATTGATGTGGATTCATGTCATCTGTAAAATGAGAATTTTAGTTCTTTTCATTTCTTTTCAGGTCTTGATGCTTTGACTAAAAACTCTAGGGCATGTTGAAAGGGAGCACTGATAGTAAGTCTCCAGGCTCTGTTCTTGCATCCAGAAAGAATATTTTCAGCATTGTACCATTAAGGATGACATCTACTTACTATAAGATTTCCTAGGTATCACTCATCAGATTAAAGTAATTCACTTCCATTCCTATAGAAAGCAGACTAAGATGATTTTGTTGTTGTTCTTGTTTTTTAATCATAGTGTAGGTTCAACTTTATCTCGTGCTTTTGTCTCCCACATAAAGATTATCATTTTCTTGTTAATGTCATATTTTTATTAAAAGTTTTTATCTTACATATGTTTTAAGAAACATAGTGACTCCACATGTTCATGAGTATAGTGCAGCATTTTAATACATGTAGAATAATCAGATCCAAGTAATTGGTGCATATATGTATATATCTCAGACACATCATTTCTTTGGGGAACATTTAAAATCCTCTATACTAGCTATTTTGAAACACTGGACAAGTTTTGAATGATAAAACAACATTGAATGCCTAGGATAAGCTCAACTTGATCAAGATTGTTTTTGGTAGTGCTGGGGATCTAACCTAGGGCCCTGCACATGTTAGGCAAGCACTCTACCACTCAGTTACATCCCAGCCCAAGACGTATCACTTTTACATGTAGACGTGCTTTTTATGTAGATTCAGTATTATTTAGTTTAGGATCATTTTTTAAAAATTGGTATATGTTTGTGATACATAATAATTACATTTGTTTTGAGAAACTGGTATACACACATATTGTATTTTGATCATTTCTCGTATCTGCCTACCCACTCCTCCTCAGGCCCCTAGTTTAGGACTTCTACATCCATGTTTGTGAAAGAAATTGGCTGTAATTTTCCCTTCTTATAATACATTGGCCAGCTTTGTGAATTAAGGTTATACAAGTTGGGAAATATTCTCCATTTTTTATATTCTGTAAGAATATATGTAAGTTAGGTTATTTCCTCCTTAAAGGATAGGAAAAGTTTGCCAATAAAAGCCATTTGGTTTAGAGTGCTCTTTGTAGGAAAGTTTAAAGTAAAAAGTTCAAGTTTTTAAAAATAGAGTTAAGCTTATTCATATTTTGTTGTTTTTGTTTTCCAAGAAATTTTCCATTTAATCTGTATTTTCACAAAAATATAGCATAAAATTGTTCATAATACTTCAATAATATATTCTAATTTCTATAGTAATGGTTCTCAATATTCTTGGTCTCTCTTTATACTTTTGAACTAGTATATGTTTGTAGTGCCTAATTATGATTCCGGTGGGGAGCTGATACATGTACATGAGATGTATTAATTCTTTTTCTTTCTTTCATCCCTTACCCTCTGCTCCCTGCTCCTTCCAACTCTTGGTCCCCCTCACATTTGCAAAAGCTCTATTTTCATCAGCTCCATAAAAGTTCATCAGTGGTAACTGAGAAAATGACAGAAGGCTAGATATGTTACACTATCTATCCCATCTAGCCTAATAAAAGAGTTCACCTTATTTTTTTTTTTACCAGAAATGGATAACTCATTTGGAAGAGAAAATATTCGCTATGAAGATTCATAGGGTTATCTAAGTAAAACAAAACTACTCAAAGTAGAAGAATGACAGAGAAATAAACAGGATTTCCCAGAAGAAAGAGAGCTTCTTTTCCTAGAATGATGAGAATACAAATATTTTTTTGACCTGGAATCCAATAGGACATTGGTTTTTGAAATAGTTTTAAAGTTATAGCTCAAATCTGCTGAAAAAGATACTTAAAAATGTTCACTCCAAACAGTAACCAAATTAAATGTCTTTTATTGATGTCCCTTTTATTTATATTATATATTACATATATTAGAATATATAATTATAGATATAATATGTCTTTCATAGTATGTCTTTTGGGGGCAGTACTGGGGATCAAACTTCGGTTCTTGGACTTACGGGGTAGGGTGCAGAACCACTGAGTTAAATCCCTGGATCATAGTATGTCTTTTATTGACGATCATTCAGGATGTCCTTCAACTATGTTCTATGTATAAGAATACAGAGGCAAAGGTTTTTGGGAGATTCCAAAAAGAAGTTCTTTGCTATCAACCTAGAAGCATGTAAGCATAGTTACAGGGGAGCAGGGAAATCAGAGGAATAAGTGAATCACAAACTCAGAGCTAAAGACCATGTGACTTGAAGAAGTCATCTGATCTAATTCTGAGTCTTTGAGTAGAGAACATAAAATTATTCCTATTTTACAGATGAGCCAATCAAGGCCTAAGGATGCACTGAAATATCTACCTAAGGTCAGAATGTCTTATACCTAAAGGAACTAAAACCATATTCTCCTGATTCTAGTACAGCTTCTCTTAAATTACACCACAAGAAAAAAAATTCTTTCTTCCACCCAGCACTATAGTATTCCAGCTATGTGGATTTATGGAACAAGACCTTTCTTCTTCCAAATCTAGGAATAATAGGAATAAATGAATAATGATGTCTTACTTTAAATTTTTCCTACCATCCTCCCACATTTCCCAAAAGTTTGCCATAATGAACATTCTATCTACCTCGGGAAACGATGGTTTTTACCTTTCCAGAGGTTGCCATCAACACGGTATAAGGGCCATCACAAACAACAGATATCAAATAATACGAGGCCCGCTTTCTCTATGCTGTACTGGAAATGGAATCCAGGGCCCTATGCACGCTACATAAATGCTCTACCACTAAGCTAGATCCCCATTCCCTAAATTCTCCTTTGAAGGAGGAAGTTGACTGCATATAGTCAGGCAGATTTTAGTTTAAGTTTTACTTACTGTTTCTAATGGGGAACAGGATACTAGCAATATGATATACAGTAGAAAGAACAGATATCTGGGTTTTACTTCAAATACTTGTCTGACCTTAATAGGATTATTTAATCTCTTGGAACTTTAGCTTCTTCCTGTATAAAACAAATGGGTTGAACTTACAGTTTTTAGGGTCCCTTCTAGCTTTAACCCACAGTGAATCCATATTTTTTATGTCAATTTTCAACAAATGGACTTAAAGTCTTCTTGCTAAAATGCTTTTCATTCGTCTAGCCAATACAGTTTTCCCTTAATATTCAAGGGAAACTGTTTCTTGAATACTTTCCCCTAACCAAAATCCATGAATGTTCAAGTCCTGAATATAAAATGATGTATTTGCATATAATTTATATAAATCCTCCAATATACTTTATATTATGTCAAGATTATTTATAATATCGAATAGAATATAAATTTTACAAAAATAGTTACACTGTATTGTTTAGGAAACAGTGACAAGAAAAAACCAATCTGTACATGTTCAGCAGAAATGCAATTTTTTCCCTGGACATTTTCAATCCTTGGTTGATTGAATTCACATATGCAGCTCATGGATGGTGAGAGCCACCTGCACTAAATTTCCTTACTTCACAGATCGTTTTCTTTAGTACTTTCAGGAAACTTTTGTATGATACAAGAAATGTTCTACATCTGCACAGTCCAATAAAGTAGTCATGAGTCAGTCATGTGGGGCTATTGAGCATTTTAAAATGGGGCTAGTGTGACAGAAGAACTGATTTTTAATTGTATTTAATTTTAACTACATTTAAATAGCCAACATGGCCACTGACTACAATATTTGACAGCAAAGCTCTAGAGGTCCTCAGAATCCAATTGAGAGACTTTATTGTCAGCCTTCTTCTTAAACTTGAAAGCCAGATCCAACACACACAACATAAATCTAACAAAATGTTGTCAAGATAGCCAAGTTTAGCTAGCCAAGTTTAAAGGCAATTGATTTAATTTTCTTCTCAAAGATCTCATTTTTCTTCTGTGCTTCCCAGAGGCAATATTACTATAACCTTACATTTTTATATGTAGTACTTTTTAAGTTTTATGAGGTAGTGCTGGGACCCCCACCTTTAAGGTATTTATAGGTAGAGCAAACAGGAATAAGCTCTCAGCTACAGCTACAGCACACTTCAGAGCTACTTCTTTGTTAATTCCAATATTTATATTCTGCTGTCTCCATTTGCCTTTCCCCATACAACCCCACTTTCCCTCTGCCCACTTTGACACCGAGAGCTCCCACAAAACAGACTGTTACCTCCTTACGCAGGCTTGCATAGCAGAATGAAGGTCAAGAGATGTGTGGAGACAAATAGCAAGAGAGGTAGGTGGCTGCTGGGAAACACTGCAGTCTCAGCACCCGGTCTCCCTTGGAAACTAGACAAGGCTTGCACTGCCACTGCTATCCAGCAAGCCAGAGGCAAAGCTCATAATTTGCTAAGAAGCTGCTACTAGGAAGGAGGAGGAGAAGGAAGGGGAGGAGAAAAAAAGAGGAAGGCAAAAATCTTAGGGCTTAGCAAAGCCCCTGCTGTTGATAGTTCCCAAAATACCATTCCATTAGATGCATATTTTATACTCTGTACCAAATCAATCAATACTACTTCTCATTTGAGAGAAAGGGGAGGGAGAGGAATTCTTCCTCATGGGAAAGAAGACAGAAAAAGAGCCACAGCACTCTCATTCTGGATACTCTTTCATCTGCCCTTGGGCTACCCTAGTTGCTTCATCCACCAAAGTGAGCTGTAAATACCAGCTCTCTGGAGGCTTAGGCCTAGCCAGCTGGCAAATACCAACAGCAGAGAAGAAACAGATTAAAAAGAAACACATGTAATGCAGGGAGAATTTTCAGATCTGCTATAAATGGGTTAAACCTAGATAGAGGAATACTCTAAATACCGCTCAATTTGA